GCCTGCCTTCTGTGAAACAGCACCACCTCACTATAACTTTTTTTTATTGCTTTTTGTTTCTTGTGTGTGCTAATGCTTTACAAACTTTTAGATCAAATATTTATAAAGTTTGACTGAGTTCAGCAAGACCTTAAAGAAATTCACTTCATTCCCACCTCCGCACATTAGTTACAATAACTTCAGTTATTGTTGACAATAATAGGGACATTCCATTTGTTGTAAGGATCACTATATAATCTTAAAGATATTTAACCTCTTTGAGACTACTTCTCATGTATAAAATAATTTAGATTACTATGATTCCTTTGGTTTTTAGGATTCTCAGAATTCTAGTACAGGCCTAGTTATGAAACAGGCTAATTCCTCTTTTTGCCTTTTTAAATAAATGAATATTCCATGGTTGTCAGTGACCAGCTTTTCCACTCTCTACATTCTTTCTCCAAGTATCTCATAAACTATTATGACTTTCTCAAATTTATGCTGGAGCCCTAACTTTAAAACTCCAAATTTAAATTTTTATTTGTTGTACATGATTAACTAGATGTACTACCACCAGCCCTTTAAAGGTATCATGCAAAACAAATAAATTGTATGTATGTGTACCAAACTTCTTTGTCAGTATGGCTTGTGATAAAAAACAAGTTTTAGGATCAGATGTACCTAAATTTGAATCCCAGCTCTGCCATTTATTAGCTGAGAATAATAACCTTGATCAGATTAATCTTGTCTCCATTTTTTATGTGTAAAATAGGGTTAAAACAGTACTTATAATTCATATGGTTGTTATATGTGCATGTTTTACCTTAGTATAATACCTGGAACATGCTAATAGCTCAATAAATGTTAGCTACTGTTATTATCAGTAGCATCACCATGTTTCCTAGTCCTCCAGGTTCTAAATAGCTCAGTAATCTTTGACAGATTCTGTCTTTTTTTAAAAAAAAAAATCAATTTAATCAGCATTTGTATATTTTTCTTTCCTTTTTTAAAAAATATTTTTTTATTGGTTTCAGAGAGGAAGGGAAAGGGAGAGAAATAGAAACATCAATGCTGAGAGAGAATCACTGATGAGCTGCTTCCTGCATGCCCCACACTGGGGATTGAGCCCACAACCCAGGTATATGGCCTAACCGGGAATCGAACCATGACCTCCTGGCCCATAGGTCCATGCTCAGCCACTGAGCCACGCTGGCCGGGCCTATTTTCTGAGATGGTCTGGTTTTCATTCCCACATAGATTAAGATTATCATCACAGACATCTAATCAGATTCCTAGATTTTATGTTTAAAGGGTAGAACCTCTTCTTATTTTTATTTCCCCTATATTACCTACCATAATGCCTAATACATAAAAGTTTCACTATTATTAGATAACTCATGTAATCTTTATATCTATTTATTTATTCCTCCACTGATCCCTTAAATCTTTGAGCACAGGAAATTTCTTGATCCTTCTCTGTACATCTACACCTGACAAAATCCCTTAGTCTATGTTTGCTGAATAAATGAATGTTGACTAGCCTCACTCCAAACCTATCATCAATCTAGCTACTGCATGTGCAAAAGATAGGTCTTATATTCTCTGATCCAAAGATTCATACAGATCCAAAGATACAAACACTAACATCAGAACCATCTTTAGACTTTGCTTTCCACTTATTGGCAAGTTCCAGGATCACATTCTATTCTCGCAGCATCCACAGGCTTTAAAGCATGGCTCTTTCTCAACAGTTTGAATAAAAAATTCTGAATTAACACTCATGCTGACTGGAAAAGATGCCCTTCTTTCAATAATCACTGTGAACAGAGGGATGGACAACACTGATTGGCTAGGCCTGAGCCAAGTGCACACCCTTGTGTCAGGGTGGGATCTATGTAACTGAGAGGGGTGGTTCCCTAGGAAAATTGGAGTACAGTATTGTTATCAGAGGAAAGGGGAATGCATGACAAACCGGCAAAATTAACTGATCTGCCCTATACTCTAAGACTTTTTGCATGTCCACCAGTGCCTGGAAAGGCTATCTTTCTCATTTCTGCCTACCCAAATCTAAGCTACGTCATTTCTGCCCCCAAAAGTCTTCTGTGATTTTCCTTGTTTACTGAATCAAGTCACTCATTCCAAGTAAAAATCTCCCTTTTTCTAAAGCTCTTCCTTTTTAAATAAACAAGAGGGGGAAACCTCCAGAAAAGGTTCCATGATGAATTCTAATCATGTCTAATTATAAATGGTATGGGTAATATGTGCTGTTTCTTAGGATAAAAACTCTTGAAGGACAGCAGCTCTACTAGATACATTCTATATATAGGGTGTCCCAAAATTTACACAAGATTTGAATTTTGCGTGAGCATTAACAACAACAACAACAACAAATAAAAGCCTAATTTTACTTGGTTTATTGAATCAGATTCTAATATCTGTTGCCCTTTGATTTCAATCCCTTCAATTTGATAAGCATTACCAAGTACCAATTATGGCCCAGGAGCAGGGACAATGAAGACCAATGAAGACCACGGCTTTGTGTATGTGCCAGCAAAGCCGTGAAGGCCATTTACCCGATGTGCTATTCTATACATAACCTTATACTATATACTTTATGAATCAATAAAAAATTTACAATTTTTAATTATAAACCTGTGTTTTCTATCAAAATTACTTCTTGCGTGAATTTCGGACACCCTATATTATCAAAGAACTGTGTGGCAGTATTAAAATAATTTTCTTGGCTTTAACTTTCCTATAGGATCTAAACAAAACACTTTAGCTAATAGGTTGGGTCTGACTTCATGTAATAGCTGTTTTAACAGGTAGACTATGGTTCTGGAGTTATCTCAAACTAGGCTCAAATCCTGGCTAATATCACCTTTCCTGGCTTTTAGCTACAGATCTTTGAGCAAATTATCTTCTCTCTCCAAATCTTGGTTTCACTACCTGTAAAAACTGGAATGGTAATACCTGTCTGTACATAAGGAGGCTATGTAATAAAGAGGAAAGAATTAGATGGACCCAGGCTGAAATTCTACCACTAATACTAGTTATATGACTTTCTCTGAGTGATTCCTCATCTGTAAATGCTGAGTAATTGCTCGTATGCAATAATATTTAATCCACTGGTTGCTAAGCATTTAACAAGGCAATGTATTTTAAAACACCTAACACACTGAATAGCACTGGAAACGCAATAAATGTTTATCCACATCAAACTATCTGATTAAAAAGAATGATTCAGTGTTTTTGTACAAGGTCTACCAAAGCTTTCTTATACTTACTAAGTGGTATTTCTACCATATTAAAATGAATTTAGCCTAATAGGTTAGAAAATACCCTGCAGTATTTTTTCCCTCCTTTTTATCTTTTTTCCCTTTTTTAGACTTTTTGACCAGATAAATCTCAACCATCAAAAATTGTGGTTTATATATAAACTATTAAAATAATAAACATGGATAATGATAAATTAAAAATTCAGAGCACAAAGAAAAATTCACTAGGATTATTTATTGGTCTTGATAAATACCCTTGGGTTTTCTTTGTTAGTTAAAATGTTTTCTAAAGGCAAAAACACTTTGGTCTTACAATTATTTAAAAGCAAGTAAGGTAATGAACTAGATAAACTCCTGTAATCAACTTGTTCTTTAGCTTCAGGCTTAATGTAGTAATATGAAATGACTCACCCCAATATGAAATCACTATGCTAACCATCTCCTGAACAGAATCAGATGGGATACAAATGATAATTTTAGATGTTATCAATCAGAACACATGCAAAAGGCAAGTGGCTGTTCATATTAACCTTAGCAATAGTTTAACTTTAATGTCATTCACTAAAAAATACAAACTATATTCAGTATAACTGTTTCCAGAAAGAGATTAGATAAGTAGGCATTTAATTTCTTCTATTTTACACTAGAGCAAAAGTTTCTTTGGAAAGAAGTTTCCTGAAGTAGTTTAACATTCTGTTTATTTTTCTAACATGAGTGAATCATATGCAATACTTATCAGTCTTTAATGAGTGCACAAACATAGGAAGGTGTTAAATTGGAGATTTTAAAATAAAGATAAATAAAATAAGGTAAATAAAATGGAATAAACATGACACATTCTTTGGTCGCAAAACACTATATGAAAATAAAATATTTAACTACACCATACTATACAAACTGGGTGATTTTTTTTCTCTCCTTTGTATTTGTGCAAAATATGAATAGACTGTTTTTAATCAACCCCCTGAGGAAGTTACACTTTAAACACAAGAGAAGAATAATGTGGTGAACACCTCAGTGTCCAGACACTGTTCTCTCCAACTATGAAAACCTAATTCCTTATTATCTTTCCTGTGTTCAAAAATATGTACAAAGCAAAATAATGCTTGTTTTTTTAAAAGCATTAAATACAGACATGGTAGGCAACCTACGTATCTTTTCAAAGCAGTTTTCTTCTTCCAACGTTTCCGGGGGCGGGCATGAGGACAGTGGGGCAGAAGTAATGGGAGTGTGAAGGTGGCTCTAGTTATTCTTACAAGTACATTTGGTCACTCAACTAGATAAAGCACAGTTACAGCGTCCGGGTTCACACGAAAAACAACGCCAAGAAACGCCAGCGCTGAGATGGGCGATTCCGGATAACGCACCCACTGTGGTCGGGTTAAGCGCGCTACAAGCCCCAATCTGGCAGGTCGGTTTCCTAGTGGGCTCCCCGGTCCGCTCGGCCTGCACAAACCGGGCGGGGCTATCTGGGCAGCGGCCGACGGTAACTTTCTAGGAGAGTAAACCACCGCCCGCCCGTCCCCGGCGGTCTTCCCCGGGGATGCCGCTGTCCGCCTCGCCCCGAGCTCGGGGGCTGGCCCGCAGACCGGGAACCGGGTGGGCGGGGGCAGGCGCCTGCCCCCCGTTACCCCGGTCCCGAGTCCCGAGGCTGTGACTACCCTCCAGTCCTCCCACCGGCCGGGGCGGCTCCCGCCGCGCCCAGGGCCTCCCGTCGGCAGGAATGCCTCCCGCCCCGCTCACCCGCCCGGGTGGTGTCCGTCAGGTCGTGGTTGGCCGCTCCCCGGGGAAACTCCCTCAGTTTCCGGCCGCTCAGGATCAGCACCCCGGTTATCGCCGCCTCCTCCAGCGCTCGATCGAGGGACCGGCTCCACGAGCCCGGGCCAGGACCGGGACCTGTCCCGGCGCTTGGGCCGCAGTTAACACCAGAGAGGTTGCCTCCCGACGCTACGGGGCCAGAATGCTCTGCAGCTGTGGACACAGCGACCAAGCCCGCAGCCGCCATTTCCCGGCCGACAGCTACCCAACCCGCCGGGTCCGCGCATGCGCGGCCGCTGGTGGGTGGGCGGGGAAAGGGACTTCCAGACCCCGGACCTTTCTCTTGACGGACAGGGCTGCGGAGCCCTCCACGCATTCAGGCGCTTGCCTCCGCCCCCGAGGTTTTAAAGGGAAAAGAAAACACAAATCTGCAGCAGCCGCCAGTAGCATTTTTAAAATGCCTCTACAAAAATATCTTTAGGACAACGCTCCTCACAAAAACTTCTCTCTGCCTTCTTTTCTCAGTACTGGAGGATTGAATTAAGCATTAAATTAAGGCTTCTTAACACTGTTGCTGCCAGAAACTTCGGCAGTGAGAGAAGGGGACGGGCATGAGGAAAGTAGGGGCACTGAAGACTCCCATTACTCATGCCCCCACTTTCCTCATGCCCGTCCCCGAAAACGTTGCGATTTAAAAAATTTCCCAACTTGTCATTCTGTAAACCCGATGATACAAATGGAAACTTGTGGATTTATTAACTATTATTGCGTGAGGAATAATAAGGGCTAAACTGGCTCCAAAAACTCCATAGGTCTCATTGAAAGGGTTACATAAGTATTTTAGGCCTTCCCTCGCTTTTATAAAATAGTTAACAACTATAAAACAAGCATCTTAAATAGTACTCGTCTTTTAGGCAAGAAGAACTTTAGGCATTAAAGTCTAAAATTTTTTAATTAAATCTTTATTGTTCAGATTATTACAGTTGTTTCTCTTTTTTCCCCCCATAGCTTCCCTCCACCCGGTTCCCACCCCGCCCTCTGCCCTCACCCCCCGCCACTGTCCTCATCCATAGGTGTACAATTTTTGTCCAGTCTCTTCACGCACCCCCCAAGAATTGTCAGTCCACTCCCTTTCTATGCTCTTGATTCTATTATATTCACCAGTTTATTCTGTTCATCAGATTATTTATTCACTTGATTTTTAGATTCACTTGTTGATAGATATGTATTTGTTGTTCACAATTTGTATCTTTACCTTTTTCTTCTTCCTCTTCTTAAAGGATACCGTTCAGCATTTCATATAATACTGGTTTGGTGGTGATGAACTCCTTTAGCTTTTTCTTATCTGTGAAGCTCTTTATCTGACCTTCAATTCTGAATGATAGCTTTGCTGGGTAAAGTAATCTAGGTTGTAGGTTCTTGGCATTCATCACTTTGAGTATTTGTTCCACTCCCTTCTGGCCTGCATAGTTTCTGTTGAGAAATCAGCTGACAATCCTATGGGTACTCCCTTGTAGGTAACTAACTGTCTTCTCTTGCTGCTTTTAAGATTCTCTTTGTCTTTTGCTCTTGGCGTTTTAATTATGATGTGTCTTGGTGTGGTCCTCTTTGGATTCCTTTTGTTTTGGGTTCTCTGCGCTTCCTGGACTTGTAAGTCTATTTCTTTCACCAGGTAGGGGAAGTTTTCTGTCATTATTTCTTCAAATAGGTTTTCAATATCTTGCTCTCTCTCTTCTTCTAGCACCCTTATAATTCAGATGTTGGTACGCTTGAAGTTGTCCCAGAGGCTCCTTACACTATCTTCATAATTTGGGATTCTTTTTTCTTTTTGCTTTTCCGGTTGGGTGTTTTTTGCTTCTTCATATTTCAAATATTTGACTTGATTCTTGCGATCCTCTAGTCTGCTGTTGGATCTCTGTATAATATTCTTTATTTCAGTGTATGCTTAATTTCTAGTTGGTCCTTTTTCATATCCTTGAGGGTCTCACTAGACTTACTGAGCGTCTTACTAAATTTACCGGCAGTTTCTAGAAAATTCTTGAAAAACGTTATAACCATGGTTTTGAACTCTATATCCAGTAGTTTGCTTTCCTCCATTTCTGTCATTTGTGTCCTGTTTCTTTGTCTCCGCATTTTTTATGCTTTCCTGTGTTGGTAGAGTGGCTTTGTGTGCTAGGTGTCCTATAGGGCCCAGTGGCTCAGCCTCCCAATTACCTGAGGTGGACACTCTTGGTGCACCCCTTTGTGGGCCGTGTGCACAGTCTTGTTGTAGTTAAGCCATGATTGTAGTTGGTATCACTGGGAGGAATTAACCTTCAGGCCAATTGGCTGTGAGAATCAGCTGTGTCTGTGGTGGGAGAACTTCTGTGCTGGAGACACCCTTCTGGGCCAAGACTTGCTTCAGTGGGGCTTTGGTGCTCACTGAGTCTGCCCCGAGTGTGTCCCTTATGGATCTGAGGAGTTGTAATCTGGATGGTCCCACTCTGACCACTGGGTACACTGGCACTTGGATCTCTAAGGAGGTGCTAATTTAGCCTCTGCCTGAGGACACCTAGCAGGAGCTACGGAGAGATCTGCAGGTTCCTCTTCCTTGTTTGGGATTTGGAGGTGCCCAGATGAGGCCCAGCTGTGAAGCAATGCAAGCTGCTGTGGGGCCTTGGGCTTTCTTTTGGATGTTCTGGGTCTCTCTGACCCAGCTGCAGTTTGTTAATTTTAGATTGCAAAGGGCCAGGTCATTCATATGCAAAAACCTCTGGGCACTGCTTGGGTGGGGCGGGGTCTCAGGGAATCAACAGGGCGGAGCTAACAGCTATGGCTGATCCTCAGTCCTGCCCTAAGAGGTCCCGGGTCTCAGTGTCCTGAGGTAATCGCTGCAAGCACCTCTGAGAGAAAGCTGCCCTCGAGTTCTGCCTGCTGCCAGACAGTCCAGTTTCTCCCCGTATGAGTCTGGGTCCTCAGAGACTCACCCGGAACTGGAGTTTGGGCCATCGGGAGCTTGTGGCTCCCTTCTGATTGAAAAAGACAACCACGTCCTCAGTTGCCAGCCCTTTCTGCGCATGCTTCCGTACCTCTGCACTTTACTTCCACACCTCCTCTGAGTCTCAGCATGCTTTTTTTTTTCCTTCTAGTTGTAGAATTCCCACTCAGCCAGCCTTCCTGTGGTTCTGGATGATGTCCGTTTTGTCTTTTAGTTGTATTTTTGAAGTGGTTGTGCGAGGCAGCAATTTCAGGTGTTTACCTATGCCACTGTCTTGGTTTCTCACTAAAGTCTAAAATTTTAGTCTGGGCCGGGACTGGTTTGGCTCGGTGGATAGAGCATCGGCCTGCGGACTGAAGGGTCCCAGGTTCGATTCCGGTCAAGGGCATGTACCTGGGTTGCGGGCACATCCCCAGTGGGAGATGTGCAGGAGGCAGCTGATCGATGTTTCTCTCTTCGATGTTTCTAACTCTCTATCTCTCTCCCTTCCTCTCTGTAAAAAATCAATAAAATATATTTTTTTAAAAAAGTACTTTATGATTTGCTTATAATTAAAATTGTGGTCAATTTTATGCATATTAAAAAAATAGATTAGAAACATTGACTTTTTCTAATAGGTCTGTCTACATAACTTGAATACCAAAATAATGAAGTCTCAAAATCATCACTAGTAGATTTACTTATAATGCTACAAATGCTAAAATATTACCACTTTTTAAATATTGGACAAGCTCACACCATTCCACTATTTTCTTTTTCTTTTCCATTTTGAGTTATTTGTCTTTTTATTCTTTATTTTTTATTTTTTTTAATAATTTTTATTTCTTCAAGTATTACAAATATCTCCTTTTTCCCCCCCCCTTGACATTCCCCCGGTCCCTACCCCCCGCCCCGTGTCTTGTGTCCATTGGTTAATCTTATATGCATGCATATAAGTCCTTCGGTTGATCTCTTAATCCCCCCCCAAACCCTCCCCAGGCTTCCCACTGTAGTTTGACAGTCTGTTCAATGTTGCTCTGCCTCTGTATCTACCCCTGTTCATCAGTCTATACTGGTCCCCTTTATCTGTCCCAACCTCACTGGAGTAGTCTCAACCTCACCAGGGCCGTCTGAGTCACCAGGGTCGTTACAGCCTCACCGGGGCCGTCCCTACCTCACCGGGGCCGTTTCAACCTCACCGGGGCCGTCCCGACCTCACCGGGGCCATTTCAACCTCACCGGGGCCGTCCCGACCTCACCGGGGCAGTTTCAACCTCCCCGGGGCCGTCCCTACCTCACGGGGGCCGTTTCAACCTCACCGGGGCCGTCCCGACCTCACGGGGGCCATTTCAACCTCACTGGGGCCGTCCCTACCTCACGGGGGCCGTTTCAACCTCACCGGGCCGTCCCGACCTCACCGGGGCCGTTTCAACCTTACTGGGGCCGTTCCTACCTCACAGGGGCCGTCTCGACCTCACCGGGGTCGTCCCTACCACACCGGGGCCGTTTCAACCTCACCGGGGCCGTCTCAACCTCACCGGGGCCATCCCGACCTCACCAGGGCAGTTTCAACCTCACCGGGACGTCCCTACCTCACGGGGGCCGTTTCACCCTCACCGGGGCTGTCCCGACCTCTCCGGGGCCATTCCAGCCTTACCGGGGAAACAGGAAGTTTGGCCCTCTGTCCCCTGCCGGCGGCTCCCCACCAGACAAAATCTCCAGGCATTCCTGGTGGCTGAACATCCAGCACTCCTGCTCGGATCATGCCCTCCACCAAGTGCACAGACTGCCTGTCTGCCGTCCCCCAGCACCCCACGCGAGACTGGAACCGGCGGGCATGTTTGTGCGCCTGCTGGTACAGCGGTTCCACAGCGCCGGCCCAGCCGGGCCCAGCCCCGGCCTGCCCCGGACCCGACTCCGCCCCCCCCAGATTGCATCCCTCCCGGATGCAAGGAGCTGAAATCTGCAGCCTGCTGGGATGGGCTCTGTACTTGGTGCCTCTGCACATCCTACTCAGTCTCAATGTTCTTTCTCTCCTTCCAGTTGTAGAGCTTCCACTGGGCCAACTTTCCCATGGTTCTGTATGATAGCTGTTTGTCCGATAGTTGGTAGTTTCGATGTTGTTGTGTGAGGTAGCACGCACAGGTCTCTTCCTTAAGCCGCCATCCTGGTTCTCCTGGGTCTGCTTCTTGAGTGTGTCTCCCATGGCTGCGAGCAGTTGAAGTCTGCAATTTGTTGGGTTAGGCTGCAAAAGTGCAGGTGGGTCTTTTTGTGCACCTGGCACAGCTTGGATGGGGATGTAAATTGATTAGGGCTGGGTCTCAGGGAGTCACCATGGCGGAGCAAATAGCACTGGCTGAGTCTGCGCGGCCCCTTGCCTCTCCGCCGGGGCTTTGTGTCCCCCAGTGCTGGCGAGCAGCTGTGTGACAGAGCCTCCCTCGCTTTCTGATGGCTGCAAGGCCGTGCTGCCTCTCCCCATAGGGTCTGGTGCCTCATGATCCCGCCCGAACCAGCTCAGTGGATTTGAAAGTTTGCAAAAGCAAAGGCGTTTCTACTTGTGAGTCTGGCACAGCCCAGATGGGAATGTAAATTGCGTAGGGCAGGGTCACAGGGAGTCGCCGGGGGGGAGCTCAGGGCCCCCTTGCCTATCCAGGACACTAGGGACTTTGCGTCCCCTGGTGCCG